GGGGCCACTGGAGGAGATGAATGGCCCCCATAAATTACTCTTGCAGGTTGTGACCTTTATCTTCGAGGAAACAGATGATACGCGACCGATCACTGTCGCATCCCTCGCCTATCAACTTTCGGCCACGCCGCGTGCCAAGAACCTTGCCGAAGAGCACGAAGAATACGCCCGCCCATCTCAAAACGGGTATCATAGAGGCAAGCGTGCGTGTGACCCCGCTTGGGCAGCGGAGTATGCGTGGTTACAGTGTTCCCATCGTGTAGGGTTTAGTCTTGATCTTGCTACGGCTTCTGATCGGATTCCCCATGAATTGCTGCCTGAAATTCCCGTGCACAGTGGCCTCCCAGCGTTTGTGATACATGGCTTTCAGCAGCCATTTGCAGTGTCAGGAAATTTTAAGACTGCTGAGGGCTTATGGCGTTCGTTTCATGTGACCCATGGTTTGCCGCAAGGGGATGCCTGAGCATGTTTGGGCATCACCATGTCCATATATGGTGGTGGGCAGTGTCTGCTGAATCGCAGTCTCCTTCCACCTCGCCTCTTGGCTCGTATGACACATCCACGCGCAAGGCGTACAAACAGGGCAACTCCTGGTTCTGTGAAGTGCGCCCGTGCATTTCTAATGACAAGAATTCAGGGCGATTTCGGAAGGCCAGGTGCTGGGGGAAATGCGCTCACAACTACAAGAAGGCACCCCGCTGCTACAAGTGGACTTGCGCCAAGTGGCAGGACTCAGTCTCCTCGTACAGGCAAGGCAGTGGCAAGCTCGCCCCGGTGTGCGCGGGGCTTCCCAAAGTGGAAGAGGGGTTCCAGCACGACGTACCAGCCGCCCCTAGCAAGGGTGGAAACTACGAGTGCCGTTGCTGTGGGCGTGAAACTACCAAAGGATCTCTCTCAAGGTTCAAGGAGCAGTTGTGATGGCAAACTCGTGCAGACACGTGCCCAAGCCATCAAAGGAACCACGTCTGTTCAGGGTCTTTCTGGTCAGCAAGTTTGGCCGGATCACCTTGCGGAAAGGCTCGCCAGCAGATGCCTTGCTGAGGTGAATTTTGACGGTGGCTCCAATGGGTGGTGGTCACCTCCATGGCCTGATCGAGCACTGTCGCTGTAGCCGTCTCTTCGGCGTTGCAAGCAGCCTTGATATGAGCATATTGTGTGACAGCGCCCGCCCGTGTCCCGTGGCCAGCACCCTTTCCCGGCCACGCAGCAAGCACGTTTTGCAGGCAACCTTGCAACAAGCGTGTAATGTTCAAGTGCCTTTGATGGTTGTCATGACTTATTGCTGTAGTGATAGCAACAATCGGTAATGAACATCATGGTAAGCTTGATACCAATTGAATTATTGCCCTACACCCTAAACCTTATCTTCCCAGAGTTCTAGCAGTAATACTACCAGCCGTAACATCCATATGCATCATATCAATGCATGTGTATTACCAGTTACTAATTGAAAAGGCCGTGGAATGCTTATCATTCCAAAGGGCCCACAAGACGAACGAACAAGTTTCGGGGACGATGGTATATGATTCTGGGACGATGTGATGGTATATGATTTCGAGGAAATGGTTAGGTTTTGAGCGAGGCAAGGTGTAGAGGAACTGGGGTCATGGCTTGACGAATGGGGTGTGAATCTGAGGCAAGGTTTTGAAGATTTGGGGTCACGGCTTGACGCTTCTAGCCTTATCTGAGGCAAAGGTTAGAGGATTTCGGGTCACGGCTTGACGAAACGCGCTTGATGTTGGGGCCACGGCTTGACAAATCGGGTTTAATTTGGGGCGTCATAGCGTGACCAATCAAGCGCTTTCCAGCTGAGCACATGGTGTGACCAATCAAGCGCTTTCCCTGAGCACATCTGGGGTCAGATGGTTAGACTCTTATTGGCAATATAAGGAGTCGCAGTCTTAGTATAGAGCTTCATCAGTTCAGCTCGAGAATGCGGCAAACAATTCTGGTTGTATTCGGCTAATCATATGACATACGCCACTTGCTTCAAGAGACTCCTCGAGACTCTTCGAATTTCCTCGAGACTTCTTGAAACTAGCCCCGAGACTCCTTGAAAACCCCTCGAGACTCCTCGAAACTCCTCGAAACTTCTCGAAACCCCTCGAGACTCTTTTCGAAACTCCTCGAAAACAACGCTTAAATTCCTCGACACTTCTCGAAACTCCTCGAAATTCTTCGAAACTCCTCGAAACTGTTCGAGGAGTCTCAAGAGGTTTCGAGGAGTTTCAAGGAGTTTCGAGGAGTCTCGAGGAGTTTCAAGGAGTTTCGAGGAGTTTCGAGGAGTTTCGAGGAGTTTCGAGGAGTTTCGAGGAGTCTCGAATTTTCGAGCAGTTTCGAGGAGTTTCGAGGATTCTCGAGGAGTTTCGAGGAGTTTGGAGAACTTTCCTTGCTCGCATCTCGCCCCCCACTTTGGCTCGGGTTTGGGTGCTGCGGATATTCTCAGCTTCTTGCCTTTCAATCCCCAACGCTGGGATTGCGCTGGGTCGTATGCTGAGGTGATGTTGGGGCACCTCGTGCCGATTACTTCTTGACCAAACAGCATCCGACCGTGCACCCAGTTAAGCCATTATCTGCATGAGCCGAGCTCACACCGTGTGCATTTGAGTGGCCTCGTGTGCCTGAGCCGTGTCCTCTTAAAGACCCTTCTCCGCACGAGCCATGACCTCTGAAAGACTCTTCTTTGCTCAGCCATGACCTTTTAGAGATCCTTCCTTGCTCGAGCCGTGTCCTCCCCTTTGCGCGGACCGTGACCTTGGAAAGCTGCGCCATGAGCCTTGGAAAGCTAAACCTTGACACGCCTGCAGCCCACACCATGACCCACCCTTTGCCCACACCATGACCTCCATTTTATAAGAATGTTCAACATTCCACGGCCGTATCAAGTTACTAATACTGACTGGCAATAGTAATATCCCTAAGCCCTAAACCCTGACTCCCAATAGTTTTAGTCATCACAATAACCAATGATAATATCAATAAGCCTTATATCAATTTCCAGTTCTGGCAGGAGGCAGGGCCTGGAGGTTCATCGTCTTAACGGTGCGTTGCCTACGAAAGACCTGTAGGGGTTTTAGGGGTTTGAGGTTTAGGGGGTTTTTAAGCTTTAGGGAAAGGGGATTAAGGCCTAGATATGACGCCATCTTATGAGGGTTGCAAAGTCTGCAAAGGGCATGCGGAAAAAGAAAGTCTGGTAATTGCAGCGCGTCAGGAAATGCAAGCAAGATTTGGCACCAAATTCCTATTATTAAAATCTCCCAGCTGCAATGGCGCAAACGTTCACGTGAGGTGTTGCCTGCCCAATCTTTTTGACCCGATGAACCCCTAACCTTTGACCCTGAACTGCTCAAGCTTCAGACAGAACCTTTACCCCGGAGCCCTCAGCCGTTGACAGCCCTGCAGGAGAGGAGGAAGGCTACGGCGACGAGTTCTGAGTGTCCTTCCGGATGTGACCCGAGGAACCACCCCGAAACATCTGGTTTACATCTTTACCTCGTTCTAGCTGTTTCCGGTTTAGGATTTAGGGTCTAGGTCTCTGCTAGCCGTAGAGAATTTCTGTGCCGTCGTGATCCTCATGACCGTTACAGTGTTTCGTGCCTTGGGCAATGGTCATAAAGAATTGGCTGTACTAAGCTTAACTTTTGGAAGTATATGTGGGCTTCCATAAACAAGGGGTCCCAATACCAAGCCAAATATTCTGATTTTCGTTAAAGGAACCACCAAAAAAGGATCCCCAATTCCAAAAAGCCCTAATCTTATAAACCCCTCTACAATCCCAGTCTCGTCCCAGTTTCCATGTCATTTTCCATTCATTTTCCTTTTGATTCTCCATTATTGGGGTTACCTTACCAGTGTAGCCTAGTTCTTGTTGCCAGCCTCCCTAAGCCCTGAACCCTTGGATATGTAGCGCAGCTTGTGTAACTAGGTCGCAGCACGGAGCATCGAGTTGAGCGTTGCCATCTTCTAGCATGCGGTTTAGGGGTTTAGGGGTTTGTGGTGTTTGGCAGTTTATGGTTTAGGGCGTGGGATTCAGGATTCAAGTGTTTAGTGTTTGGTGTTCAAGGGGTGATTAGGGCCCCTTATACTTAGAACATACGGCGGGCAATTTTCTATTTCGGCCGTGAAGACTGTGCAGCATGCTGCGTAAGGCCTGTTGCAACAACATGTGAGAAGCAAACACTGCAAGTCAAATCACCTTACAGGGTGGCTTTGTGACCACAGCTTCACAAAAGCCTCATGCAACGCCCCTGGATCACGGCCTTGTTCGACGTTTCAGGAGTTCAGCTGCCAACAATGTGCAAGCTGTTGGGATAAAATCCCCTTATGCCCTAAATAGTCTGTATCTATGTATCTATCCACATACGTCCCCTATAACCCCTTGAGAAGGACCCCTTCATTACATGAATCAAGGGCTTTCTTTTTCTGCACCGTTCTACGCGGCGTTTCATGCACAATGTAGCCCGTGTGATGATGCCTAGGAAAACTAAGCCAGATCTTGGGCTGGTTCCTTTGGCAAATGCGCCAGTGAGTGGACCACACTTGCTGGGATGCATGAGGACTTGAGAGGCTTTCGCCTGCTTAACCAGGCGAAAGCTCGCACTGGTGCAGCTGCAAAACATGTTCCTGAGTACTTCTGGCATTGAGACTTCCACCTGAAGTGATTTCAACTTGAGACAAATCCATGCGGCTTACAACATTGCAGGCCCTGTAAGGCTCTCCCATAGTTGGTCCGTTGGTCCGGCTTGTTGTGAGAAACAACTTTGAAGTGGCTATGGGTTTTTTAAGGCTGCATGTTTCAAAGGGGCAGTAGAACCTGTCCTCGCGTCTTCGCCGGCATCCTGTGTGCGGAGAGTGAGAGATCCGTTATTTACATCATGTTTTCACAGGTGGATGGCTGTGCTGTTTGCAACCTTGTTCTTGCCGCTGCTGGCCCAATGAGGATTTGTGCCTGAGGCCACTACATCACGAAGTGACTTCCGACGCTTTCCGACTTTGCAGCCATGCGTGAGGCAATCTGCATCCACATTGGCCAGGCGCAATGCCCTTGAACCGAACAAGTTTAGCAAAATCGGACAAGGGCTCCTGCCATCTTATCCCTCGTCACGTCAAGTGTGTTTTGCCTCGAATTGTCTCGATCTGTTCACATATTTGTTTGATGCCTCTCGACTCTTCATATCCTTTTGTTGAACCGCATCACGTGGGGGCTGCAAAATCTTGGGGTGATTTTTGGTGTCAGGGCGGCGTTCAGATCGGCAATGCTTGCTGGGAGCTGTTCTGCCTGGAGCACGGCATCCAGCCTGACGGCCAGATGCCTTCCGACAAGACGATCCTTTGCTGCCTTTGTGTTGATCACCTTGTTATATGTGTAGTCCCTATGAAGCTGCGGTATGGTATATCCCACAGGCCCTAATGTGTTCGCTTAGGGGGGATGTTCGGGACTCTTGAGCAGCGAGTCTCATAGCATTGGAAGTATGAAAAATCAGCAGAAGTCGCCAAGTTTAACACACTCGCACACGTAAGGGCTTGGTAACACAGCAAACCTGAGCAAGCGTGTTGTAACGTTGTGGCATTAAGAAATTTCCCTAGACAGGCTTTAGAGCAAACGCATCCCAGGATTGGTGGCGGAGATGCGGCTCAGCAGCAAGTAGACAGAACATGTGAAGGGTGGCAGAACTCATCGTGTCCTTGTAGGTACGGGTCTTAGCTGTTGAAGTGTCCGTTTCTTTCGAGGGACCTGAAACTGGTAGTCCTGCTCATGCCCATCTCAAATTCAGCGCCCCGCCTCCTTTTCAGGACGCCTTCAACACATTCTTCAGTGAGCACCTCCTATGCATTTGGGACTTTTTGGTGTTTCTTGCGTCCGTACTCTTGATGGACAACTTCCCGCATGACGCAAATCTTATACTATGGCACCATAGTTCCTAGAGCCTAAGGTTCAGGTATTGTCTGTCCACCGCTCAACATTCCGGGCAAAGCTCCAGACTTACGCCGAACACCCTGCAACGCAATGCAATCTCAGCTCTACTGTAAAAGCCTGAACAAAGAAAAGCAGGATCCCCTTCATTTTCTGCAGCGCTATAGTCTAACATACCCCAAACCCCTGTAGTTCTTTAGCCATCTACACGCAACGCAAGGCCGAGAAGTGCTCAGCCCTACTGTAAAATCCCGAATAAAGAATAATGGTATTCCTTTTCTTCCATACATCGCTAAAGTCAACATGGAACACTTTTGAATGCAAGTCCTTCGCGTTTGGTCCCTGCACTTTAAGACCCAGGACAGGTGCTGGCAAGCACGTGCCTCGCTGCGTGATGGCTGCTCGGCAAGGTACATTAGGTAGTGCAGGGGTCTCAACAAGTACTCATCTTGCGGTCCCAGTTTCCTTATATGATTTTGATACAGGGTACTTCAAAGAGACCTCGAAATTATTTCGGCGTCTAGACTAGGTAGCCTACCCTTCCTGAGCCAGCGTGGAACCCCAAATTGTCCCATTTGCTCTACACAAGTTCTATGTTTGTTTGGGGAGGGTACCTGCCAACTTGATAGCTTCATCATGTACTGCACATGAGCCGAAGCTCCAAAAAGGAGCCATGCATCCTATCCCGTGAGCCAGAATGCCCTTCTACGGATAAGTGACAGTACCGCCAAGGCGTGACGGGTTTTGTCCCTTATCCCACTAGCCAGGATGTTGCGTTCACGGCGAAATAACAACCGCAGGTTGATCTCGAGCCAACCGTCGTGGATGAGGTCCGCACAGGCATCCGGGACACCCTCGCCTCCCAAAGAAAACGCACAAGTCAATAGTGCTGCAGCCGCATCTTTCTGACGAAGAGCTTGGGTAGGATGGGGGGTTAGGCTCCCTTTACGCGATCCTGCTTGCAAATTTCTGTAGGCTGTTACAAAGCCTTGTATAGAACCTGGTGCATGCCATGAAATGTGAGAGAAGAATTTTCTCAAACGCTAAACAGTCAGCGTTTACAAGGGGCTTGTGTGGGTCGGTACAGGCACCTACCGTCAGCTCTTCCACCCGGAGCAGCTCATCTCCGGAAAGGAAGATGCCGCGATCCTCGGTGCCTAACAGCCATCCTTCTTTGTCCTCCTGGTTCTTGTCATCTTCCTTCTCACTGTCAGACGTCCTTGTGTGCTTTTGGAGCATTCATACGGTTAATCTACAAGCTCCGCACTGAAGCAAGAGCCAAATCACAGGAGTGTCGCTGTCGTTTTGCATTTAACTTGTTGCCGTCAACATCTTGCTCACTTAGAAACAATTTCGCTCGCGGACACTACACGATTGGGAAGGAAATCGTGGATCTCGCTCCTTGGCATTATTATGAGATGAGATCGGTGCTTCATCTTTGGAAAGTGTACTTCTCTTCTCTGCAGGTTCGGTTGATACATCCAAGGTCTTGGACCGCATCCGAAAGCTTGCCGACAATTGCAACTTGAGTTAGTGTCATATTAGTCTTATATGTGTATGTATTTTTTTTGCTTATTCATTCATTACTCATTTATGAGTTATTCATTCATTTATGTGTTTATCAATTTGATAGTTGTTTTATCTTTCTATATCTTTATACTTTTTTTAATCTATCTATTTACTTATGCTTGTTGTTTATTAGTGTATTTACTTGTTCATTTAACTATTTACTTATGTATTTACCTATTTACTTCTTTATTGCTTTACATTACTTTATCTATCGTACCTGGCTCTACAAGCTTAATATGTGCTGTCAGAGCTATCCACCTCGAGCTGATCGCTTGATTCCGAGGCACCGGGCTTCAGGGCTTCTGCGTTTACAACGCTCCTGGATCAAAATGGTTTGAGCGTTTGTCATTTGAGTTTTGTTGTGGTTTGGTGCCGTGAAGAAGTTGATGCAACTACCGAACCAGCGCAACACCCAGCAAACCTCTGCCGAAGCATATCAAAACCATGCCCTAAAGCGATGGCTTAAGTCCCACTTACAGAGTGCACCCTACACCACGAACCCTGGGTCGGGTTTCCTGACCTTTGAAGCCTAATCCGACACCAAGCCTTTAAGACTTTCCGGCCGAAAGTCGTGACCTGGTACCGTGCATCACAACAATTCAAAATCATCCTAACATGACCCAGGCTTGAGGTTTGCCCACGCCCTGCACCCTAAACCCTGAATCCTGAATCAGATTCCCTGACTTCCGAAGCTCTATGAGACACCGCCTCCTAAGGACTTGCGTCCTAAGAACTTGCGGGCGTAAAGTTGTAACCTTGGACTGCATAACCCAGGCCTGCGGCGGAGGCACCGGATCCGGTCTCGGCTGCCTGATGTTGGAGCGCTTGTCTGTGGACTACGGAAAGAAGAGCAAGATCTCCTTCACGGTCTGGTGCTGCCCTCAGGTGGCCACCGCCGTGGTCGAGCCCTACAACACTGCCTCTTGGTCGCTGAAGAACGCACTTCCATTTTTTTGGCGTATGCCGTATGTTTAGTAGCCCTTCTCTTGAGATGTGCAAACAGGCCAGACCCAAAGAACTTGACAACTCAGGTCTTGTGTGTGCACTCCCTCCTGGAGCACACTGATGTGACCATCATGTACGACAATGAAGCGCTCTATGACATCTGCCGCAGGCGTGTTGGAGCAAATGAGAGACAGCTTACATGAAGACTTTTCTCATACCTCCGGAATGAATTGTAATAATTTCCCTTTCAGGAACCTTGACATCGAGCGTCCCACGTACACGAACCTGAACCGACTCATCGCTCAGATCATCTCCAGCTTGACTGCGTCTTTGCGTTTCGATGGAGCCTTGAACGTGGACATCACGGAGTTCCAGACCAACCTTGTCCCGTACCCGCGCATCCACTTCATGTTGACCTCCTATGCCCCTGTCATCTCTGCGGAGAAGGCCTACCA